GGATCATGTGACACTGAAGACTGGAGTAATGATGCTGAAAATTCAGCTTTGACTCTCAGAAATAAATTATATATATTCACATAGAAAACGTCAATTTTAAATTGCAATTATAATAATTGTGAAATAATAATATTTCACAATTTTACTGTTTTTACTGTATTTTTGATTAAATAAATGCAGCCTTACTGACCCTATTTTTGTCTTCTTTCAAAAATATATTAAAAAAAATCTTAATTATTATTCAATCTTTTGACTGCTAGTGTAAATACGGTGACAGTATCAGCTGGTTTTGCCTGGTCACCCATTATAACCCTCACAAACACCCAGCTTGCACCAGTAACAGAGCAGCTCAGTTCATCTCCCAGTGTAATCTGGTCCGATGTGTTGCTTTGAGCAGGTTATTTCTGTGAATGTCAAGGTGTTTGTTTCTCCGTGCGTCTCCTCAGGTGTCGCTGAGGTGATCGTGCTGGTGGGTGGGCGGCAGGTCATCGGCATGAACCAGCGCTCGCTGACAGCCGTCACTTGCTTCAACCCTCAGAACAACAAGTGGTACCCCCTGGCCAGCCTGCCTTTCTACAACCGCGAGTTCTTCTCCGTCATATCGGCGGGGGATAATATCTACCTGTCAGGTAATCAAGCCGACAGTGTGTCACTTGCAGTTTGGTGGCCACCCGCAGGTGTCTGCTTTTATATTTAGCAGCTCACGCTCTGAGGGATGATGGGAAGGCAGATGGCTGTTCCTCATCTCTGTCTTTACGACTGGCTGTGTGTCAAATTATGATGTTAAATATCCCACAAATCAAGTAGGATAAAATCAATAGCACAGGAAAGATGACGCTTCTAAAGCTGCAGCGGCAATTTGTTAGTGAAAACTGTATATGAGTAGTGCATAACACATCCATGGACATCAAGATTTTTAGATTTAATTTATTATAATCGTAAAAAGGAATGTGTATGACTTAGTTGCTGTTATATATTTTTTAATTGCATTTTTCTTCTGTAATTTATTTTAAATGATCCTGGCATTTGATGTGACAAATATTCCATGCAGTTTTTCAATTAATATGAGCTCACAAAATCCACATGAATAACTTTAAAAGAAATAGTAAAATACTGTTAAACATTTTTTTATTAAGTTTTTAGCATGTCACACCACAGAAAATGTGAACAGAATATAAAATAAATAAATAAAATCTGAAATTAATGCAGAGAAAAATATATAAAGAGTTGTATAAAAGATGTGAAGATGTATTGATTTGCCTATATAATATACAATTTTTATTTAAATGTAAAATAAATAAAATAAATTGT